GCCTGGTCGTGGGCACCGTAGGTTTGTTTACACACGCAAGCTTGAAGCGCTCGAGCATAAACGATGTGAACCACTTTCCTTCCTGGCGTGCAATGTGAACATTAAAGTTACTCGTCACTACGGCAGAGGTGTCGTTGCCGAGCATGACCCATCCGAAGACGTCCATCATGAATGCTTCAATGTTTCTCTTGGGCGTCGCGGGGCGGATGTACACGACGGCGACCACCGGACCATCGTGCACATTGATGCAAAGACTGGAAAGGTTGCCGCCATCTATGAGCGACGACGGCAACCAGATTCGTTGTCTGGTTGCCGCCATTGCTCATAGATGGCGGTAGCTGTCCAGAGTTTTGTGTAGTTTTGTGTCGGTATTTGTTTGGTACCTTACACGACACTCAAAAAAACTAGCCCTTAACAACTCCACTCTAAAAAAAAGAAGTGGATGCTTTTTTTGGTTAGCACGTTTTTCTTACTTTTTACTTATCCCTACTAAATAAATATAAACAACTCACATATGTTGGCAGAGAAGAAAAGAAAAAACATTTATTGATTTGATGGCCATGCCAAGTCGTCAACACTCCATGTACGTACCGCCCTCAGGACTCATCTTGATGTCATGGTCTTTGTCCCAGGTCAGGCCATCCTTGATGCCATCCAACTTGTTAGAAAAGCCTTGCCCCTTGAAGCTTTTTGGATGGTTCTGAAGGATATTGCACCCTGTGCTTCAAGAATATAATCACAGACATCTGGAAGAGACGCCCTCGTTAGCTGACCAGCAGTTGTTTTCTGGCGACAGTTGTAGCCATTCATTCAGTGTGTGTGCAATGAAATCCACATTTGAAAGGCCAGTTCATTGGAAAGTCCAGTGGCTGAAGCATGCCGGTTGTACCCCTAGTTATGATGACCAAGTACATCTCAGACATGCAAGGTTGTCTTCGCACATTCTGTGTTCGGTGTCCTTGAAAGCTCTTCAGGACAAGAAGGAATCGTGTGTCGAAATCTGCATTTGGCCGCTTTCCCCAAATGCACGTCAGCCAGTCTCACCAGCTTGTTCGTCATCCATTCTTTTTTTTTTTTTTTACAGCGGAGCTGTTAAGGGCTAGTTTCCCCAAGATTGTGTACCCCGCAAAGAAATGAAGACCGCAAACTCTCAAAACCTACCGCCATCTATGAGCGACGGCGGAAAGCCACGCATCTGGTTGCCGCCGTTGCTCATAGATGGCGGCAAGCCTTTCCACTCTGGCTTGCCGACTTGGGGCCGGTCATTACTTTCCATTGTACAGCTCCGCTGGTCTTCCTTCTTCACCAGAGTGGAAAGGCTGAAAGTTGTTTTTCTTTTCTTTTTTTTTGTATTGGTACATTATTCTGTTGGGGAATTGTTCTACAGGTACACATTTCATCTTAAAATTGACATTTGATACTCTGCTACAATGCATCATTTTGCATCACTGTTTTTCTGCCCCCATTGTACAAATATAGACCCCTTTTTTTCTGTTTTCCCTCTCTTGTCACGTTCTTGGGTCTTGTGCTTCAAAGAAAACCAGAATTTGATTCAAAGCAATATTGAATTGAAACTTAAAATATACCTCTCACATTCATAAATAAGCTAAACATAATCAACTCTATCCGCTAATGACAATCGCACACTTGTATTTCAAACGAATGGCTGTATTTTTAATTCTAATAACTCTGGTGAGCACTCAAAATCGGCCATCGAAGAGTATGGTATGTCTCAGGATATATGTTGCACCCATGATTTTTCTGCGACGTCATTGGCCTCCCAGGGCCAAGCGTACCGTAGTTACGTGCATTGACACTTGGTGGCGCCAACGCGTTACTACCTCGCTTAGTCAGAGTGCCCAATGGCTGTAACATGTCGGTGGGAGATTGCGGAGCTGGAGGAGTCGTGCGCACTACGACAACACGTAGTGCATCGTCTGCCCTGCGACTTGGCCGATGGGGCGACATCGGCAACGTCAGTTTCAAGTGCGAGCTCGCTGCTTTTTGACCGGAAGACCAGTCAAAATGAACGGCAAAACGATTAGGCAAACTTTCGGCTAAATAATCAGTCTCTTTTTGTGATAATAAATGGCGATCCACAAAATTAGGATGCTTGGTTGTAAAGGAAGATTGTTAAAAGGGTCCGATGTACTAAAATGAAAGCTGTTAGAACCTCAGACTGGGCGAGTTGGTTGTTTATCTTGGTTGACGTTGCAGCACACTAAAAAAACTATCACTCAAGCTTTTACACGCACAAAAGGAACAAAACTCTCACACAGTGCTCACTAGCAACTTTGTATTGCGTGATTAGCTTTTGCTTCTACTTCTACTTTAAAGGGATACTCCAACGAAATTTGAAATATTCCCGTCGTGTTCAAAAATAGGTTGAATATGATTCACAATATCCGTAATTTACAATCGCACGTTTGTATTTTGAGCCTGGTGGCTGTATTTTTCGTTATAAATGGCCCACTCTGGCAAGCGCTCGGAGAAGGCCCAGCGGAGACCACGTGACATCCAACGCAATTGTGACGTAGGTCGTCTCAAGACGAGCAAAGCTACGGCGAGGCTGACGTCGAGAAGATGGCCTAGTTGTTCCAGCCATTGAAGCAGCTTCTTTTGTACGAATTTTGAGTGATGGGTTAATCTTCTATAATTTTGTAGGGGGACAATAGCGACTTCTGCGACACACAAAAGGCATTCTCGGGAAGAGGGGAGTTCCTCCTGCCCCTCTTCTCTCGTCGTGGCCGGAGACGAGACAACCTCCGTCACTAGCTGTCAAAGTTCCTAGACGGGCATTACAAGCGAGGCATTAGCGACATCCACCAGGTGCTCTTTGCTAATCGTTTAATTCGTTCTAAAATTCCTTTTCGTGACTTTTTTTTAACAAGATATTGGTATGTTCGATGTGATGCTGCTTTTTTGAACACATATAGACCAAAAAATGAGCGCTGAAATTTCGTTGTAGTATCCCTTTAATTTGAGATCATTTTCAAATAGAAAGCGACAAAAATAAAACAAACAAAAAAAGATGAAAATAAAAATTTTTGTCTTTTTCTATTTGAAAATTATCTCAAATTTAAGTAAAAGTGGAAGCAAAAGCTGATCTTGCTATACGAAGTTGTTAGTGAGTGCTGTGTGAGAGTTTTGTTCCTTTTGTGTGTGTGTGAAAGCTCGAGTGACAGTTTTTTGAGTGGGCTGCAACATCGACCAAGATGAACAACCAACTCGCTCAATCTGAGGTTCTATCATACACAGCACACCTTGACAAATGCCTGCTGTATTAGCTCACAAAGAAGCTTGTATCATGCATAAAACAGCACTAATATAGTAATCTGTTATTCATAAATTATTCACATCTTGTCACAGTGAAGGATTCAGAAAAAACAAAAACAAATCCTTTTATAGTCTGCACTGGCCAAATATTTCAACTTTTAAACATGTATACTAGTCTGTGGACTATAGTCTGTAAAATATGGTACATTGCATGACGCAGTTAGTGCAAGCACATTTGCTCTTCATCACAGTTTACTCAGGCAGGTAGTGCATTTTTCCACTTAGGTTGGTATCCCAAATGAACACTGTCCACCACTCTTGTGGTTTTAATAACAGCCTCTTTCAATTGTGAGCAAAGAACTGACAAAAGATTGGCAATCCATGTTTACACAAACTGTGTTGCACTATGTATTGCATGGGTACACCCTCATTTTTTTCTTTTCAGCTTATGTGTATACGCCTCTCTAGCATGAAAAGTGCCATCCAGCAAACAGTATACTACTTTTAGTTGTATTAGACGTATGCAGAGAATATGTGCACATAAAGATGCATGTTAAACGCAGCATCCATTTACCTTAGGGCCCGAGCAGCCTTACTGTGACAAATTATCTTGAAGCTCCCCCCCAAAAAAAACATTGATGACTATGTACCTGCTACGATATACCAGCTTTTACGTTTAAATAATGCTGTATTTTGACATATTTGAAATCACTTGGGCAGCCCAAACAGCAATATTTACATTAACCATATTTCAATGCATTTGGCAGAGGCCTCATACTGAGTGTAGCTTTATATGTTCGAGTAATGTCTTCTGCATTGCTTGTGTGGCTCCAGCATGAGCTGCAGTAAAAATACCCAGCTCTAAGCAAGCAGTGCACTTTGCAGATCCACTAAGGTTTTGAGTGACACCCCAAAGATTCCTCGAGGAAGCAATCACACTGGATTCCAGTATTAGAGAGTTTTAGTAGATTATTCTGATTATAATACTCAGTACCCTGCTGGCTCCTTTGTGTGTGTGTCATATCACTACTGAGTATCATTTTCGGAGTTATTGAAATAATCTACTGAAACTCCCTTATGTCTTGTGTTCTATAGACTGAGAAAGAACCTCACTGTCATAGGTGTGGCTCTGTTACCAATTGGCCAGTTGGTCAGTGTACAAGGGTTGTATGTTGATGCTAGGGTCAACAAACTAATACCATCACGGGAAGAATCCTGCTTCCTATTAGTCTGCTGTGTACACTGGGCCTGGTATTCGAGTGTTCAATGCCTAACAGCACTGGATATTCTCACAATGGCAGAATGGTGATGCATTCTTTTTGCTGGGACGTTTTCATGCACCATAGTTGCACTGAGAAATGTTGAAAGCCTTTTTTTTCTTATTTGTTTTTGCAGTACAGTATTACAGGAACAAAAGCCAAAAGGCAAAAGTGCCTGGCAAGGCCTTGGTTCTGAGTGGGCAGCAAGCAGTCATATTTGGCATAATAAAAACATAACCATTTTACATAAAGCTTAAAAAAATATAGTATATATATGATCATTATAAAGTGAACTTAAATCAATGGAAAAACTGTAGCAAAACAATCGTTTGAAGCATAATCAAAGCCATAATGTTGTTCACTATTAAATCCTATGCATTATAAACAAATTTAAATAAACAAGTACCATAGCAAAATGAAATGGCATGGTGATTCCATTGGATGTACTTTTTCTGGTTTTTGTAGGGATGGCTCTTTCCTCGAGGACATCGTGGAGAAGCAGGCAGATATGATCCGCTACTTGAAGAAGTACAATGCTTTTCTGGGGCGCAAAATCCTGACTCTCAGCGTTGAGCTTAACAGGTATAAATCTCAACAGTCATGCTGATGAATAACTCAATTGCCCAAAAATACAAATGTTTGACATTTTTCAAAATTTTGGAGTGGACACGTTGAGGCCTTGACATTCAAGTTCCTTGCACACGTGGAATTGCAAAATGTTTTCCTGACAGTGTTTGCTAGTGTTTTGTCTATAACGCAAGTTTTAATGTGACTTTTACTGATGAACTATCAAGACATCTACAGTTTGTTTAGTTTGTGTGAGAGTTCTTTTCTACTCCTTTCTGTACATTTATGCTGATCATCAAATGTTGCTTGAAATAGGTTTCTTAACAACTTTGTAAAATAGGTTTTGAAATAAATATTTTGTGCTGTAAATTTCCACGTTATTTCTGTATTGTCATTTATTCCTTTGTAGTTGGGAGACCATAGTGGTAAATACCCGGAGCCTTCTTGCAAGGGCTTGGTTTGCGGGTAGTGGTCGTTGCGTTTCCGTCTCCAGCACTACGTAGCAGACGCTTCTGGGAACCCAGCACCTGCCCGGTAGAGCAGAATGCCTTCCTTATAGTCGTGTCATCACCCTTTTTTGTTTGGCTACAAACTCAGTGGCGCTATCTATTGGGTAGCCCCGGCACACTTCTGGTTCACGTTTACAGTAAATTCGCTTGAGCAAACGTCGGTTTCACAAAATTTTCAAAATAAACTTTAGAAAAAAAAATTGGCTGTTTTTCTATTTTATGCGAAAATGTTTTAGTTAACGAAACACAAATTTTGGAATAGCAAATATTTCAGTTTAACGAACTTGATCGATAGACCCAGGATTATTTTTGCAATCAGTTTAACGAAGTTTTGTGCTCTGCAGTTGTGGTGTAGCCGATGCCCGCCGCCGCCGTCTCTGCAGCTGCGGCGTATCATTGCTAACATTTACAGCGCCGCCAATGCAAAGCGGCGGTGCGGTACACGAAAACAAACCACTTGGTGTGTCTGTTGTTTCTTTGTCATCGGTTTTGTTCAGCCATCTTAATTTTAGGCATCAACTTAGCGTGTGCATGAAGGACGGTGGCTGCACCGGATTGGCTGGTTATAAAGAGCAACGGCGTAAAGTAACACCTAGCGACCGAGATACAGTGGGGGGCAGCGGGGCTAGGGCGTACTTAGGTCACTGGTGGGGCGCCGCAAGGTGACGTGTACGGGTGGCCCGAGGTGGGTTAATATTTTGTAATGAGCCATCCACAGACCCACCGTGAAGTGGCGTAAAGGGGGGGGGGGGGGGGGAGGTGCCAGATGGGTTAATACGATCCCCAGTGATACACCCGTCGTCCCCCACTGTGCGGCGCCGAAATTGGCAATGCGAAGGGGTCATCACCGGCGATCTTCGGTTCCTAGGTACTACATCACCGCGTTTCTTCCTCTAATCAGTCAATCCCGTGTGGCCTCCGTTGCTATGCGTCCTATCGTCAAGCTTCTCGAAATATTCACCCTGCCGCCATCTGTCGGCACTTACAGGTGTTTCCTAGCCAATTTCCTCAGCCAGTGGGGCTGTGGCGCCATCCCGTGGTGATGTTGCAAACTTTATATACGCGTGCTCCAAACCAGTCCAAGGTCAGCGCATGTACCAGAGCACTAATGCTAATGCATTGAAAAAATATATAACCCCAACCATTATTGTAAGTAAGTAATATATATTTTCAGCAATATTGTGCTGAGGGCACCAGACAAAAAGCTTTCATGAGGTAGCTTGCCGGGTCTGGTGCCCCTGCTCTTACAGGGCATGGTAAAAACAACTACTATACACTACACTTTGTCTAAATAAAACAAACGCGTACACTTACAGGGCATGGTAAAAAAACAACTACTATATACAACACTTTGTCTAAATAAAACAAATGCGTACATCCTTTTTTTGTTAAACAGTGTATATCATTGTGGTCTATAATGAACTTATTAAGTAACGTAGGCATGTTATGCACAATAAATTGCAGTGCATAATTTGTACGAAAATGAGGCACATTCCAGAACTCTCTGCATCTGACAAGGATGGAAGATTCACATTTTGTCAGGTGGGATACATTAGACAAAGAAATGAACTCATTGGTCGAAAATAAATAGGAACATAGCAAACGATACTCGTATACACTGGTAATCCTCATGACATTGAATTTAAGAAATAGTGGTTCCAATGAGGGCCCGTTCACAGTCTTGCGACCGAGTAAGACCGAAAGAGATCAGACCGGTTTTTAAGCCTCTTGCGATCTCTTAGGACCAGCTCCGCGCTGCAGCGCATCCGGTCATAAGAAGTCGCAAAAGGCTTAAAAACCGGTCTGGTCTCTCGGTCTAACTCGGTCGCAAGAGTGTGAATGGCGCTTGAGTGTCATAAGGCACGTTTGATGTAAAGTCTGACGTGGAAACATCCTGCTGCCTTCGAAAGACGACCATTGCACGTCACCTTAGAGCTTTTCATTTAGCGTAATAAGGGGAGTGACCTCTAGGAAGGATGAAAGGGTGGGGGAACCTTCTTCAAAGGCGCCCAAGTTTGTTTAACGATGGCTAGTTGGGCTAGTTGGTTTTGCATCATGGTGTAATACGCCAAAACAACATGGACGAAAACGAAGGGAGAACTGGACAGGGAGAACTGCACCGTACAAACTATCTTTGCTGTGTAAAAGGATAAGCAGTTTGGAAGAGGAATCGGTTGTGCCGCAAGAGTCCTGCAAAAAACGGCATGTCACTAAGTTCTGCGACTGTGCCACTAGCGTCACATACAGAATTCCCCTGTCATGTGGTAACGTGTACGTTGGCCAGACGGGGATGTGCATCAATGATAGGGTCAGAGAGCATGCGTTGGCGATCAGGCAGTCCCCGTGTGGCCACCTAGCGGTACACTGACCATTACGAATGCGGGCCCAACTCTGGAAAGTGCAGCTCCATCTTTGGTGACACCCGTGTCATGGGCCATTACAAAGACGGCCAGAGAAATTCACGAAGCCTTCGTGATTAAGTTCCACCACAACAACTGTTTTGTAAGCGCACCCTCTTTTTCCTTGTTTGATAAAGAATTCTACTATTTGAAGAGCCAATGACGCTGGCAGTTGAGGGGGGTTGCGTTTTTAGACTATATGTTTGTGTTCTGCCAAGTGTGCCTGCTTTTATATTTTTAAAATTATGTCATCGAAATAAAACCGTTCAGTTGAAAGTTACGCCGCGTCCTGTCTAGTTCTCCCTTAGTTTTTGTCTATGTTGTTTCGGCGTATTACACCTAAGTTTGTTGTAGTTTCGGACGCAGAAAGGCCATGTCTGCGTCGGAGACCCAATGTTTTGCGGAGAATGGTGCATGGCAAAGGCTTCAATTATCTCGCGGCCGTATCTCGACCTGTGGCTTCCAACTGTGGTGGTGGCTGAAAACTGGTTCGCAGGACGGGTAAGAGCAGACGTGCTGGGCTATTTGATGGAGGCTATGAAAGCCGCCTGTTTGACTTGGTTGGCGTATTCCCTCAGGCAGTCGTTTAGACATTGGCCTGTCTGACCGTTGTACCGCGAGCTGCACCTGAGTGGGATCGAGTAGACGCTGGCCTGTCTGCAAGGAACGAACTTGGTAGTGTGTTTCTTGAAGCACGCCTTTGGGGCACTTCCTGCAGAGCGAGGAGAGCCTGAGGCAGCATGAAAAGTACACCTGCGTGTCGTGTCAGAACGCTAAGGATTTGATTCTGTGAGAAATGTGCACGTATGGAATTCACGCCAAGCGGGATGCGCGTGGCCTGCCTTTAGGTTGTGTGCTGGTGGCCTAAGCTGTCATAATGCGCTTTATTCGGGTCTCGAGTAAGTCTTCTGGGTAGCCCGCCTTGATGAGGCAGGTGAGCTGTAGGGAGCAGCTCGTCGAGACCAGGTGAGGACATTACTTCGATTGGGATGAGGTGAGGCGGTTCACAACAATGTTGCATTTTACACTTTTCGAATGGTTCCTGTGGAAGGGAAGTACTGCTTTGCCTGATTTTAGAGCGCAGCTCCTAGGCGCCCGTTTCCGGCTTGAGCGGCGTCGGCGTAACCAAGGTCACCCCAAGGTCACGTGACCCCTCGCAAGGTCACGTGACCCCCAAGTCAGTGACCCCCCGAGGTCACGTGACCCCTCCCAGGGTCACCACAAGGTTACGTGACCCCCAGGTCATCTGACCCCCGAGGTCACGTGATTCCCTAGGTCGCGTGACCCCCAAGGTCACGTGGCCCCCTCCCCGAGGTCACGCGACCCCCCCTCCCCCGAAGTCACGTGACACCCCCCCCCCCCCCCCCCCCGAGGTCACTTGACCCCCTCCCCCCGAGGTCAGGTGACCCCCCCGGAGCATATTAAAGAATGAGGGAGGAGGAGGAGGACGGGTCTACCCTCCCCTCAGTACCCTTCCCTCCTCCTCCTCAAGAGCTGCGCTCCAATTCGGCGTTACAGAGCGTTGTAAATGTCTCACTTTTTGCTGGAACAACCAGTAAATACCGGACTCCGAGAAACGCAGGCAGAAATCCAAGAACTGCCTTCTGTGCTGCGTGGGGACTTCGCTGGAGAATTTTAAGCCAAACGAATTATCTGGGAACGTCTGTGCTTTAGTTTTTGGATCTGAGGTCTTGGTGAACGATAAGGTATAGTCGTTTACATATCGGAAGACGGATGTGCCCTGGGCAAGAGCTGCAAGGGCTCCGGAAACCCTCCTATCCATGAAGAACATGTAGGTCTTGCTGTTTGTGGGATAGAAATCATAAATCACTCCTTAACCCACGGCTTACTCATCTCCCAGCTAGTTGGCACCTCCCAGCGCTTCCAACCAAGGCTCTACCGCCTTGCTGCCCAGAGACGGACTTAGCATTTTGCCACCCTAGGCAGCCTTCAACCATGTTTTTCGCGTTGTTAAAGTCACAACCACCATAAACCGCCATGGTGGCATAGCAATTTATTATGGTGGTGAACTTACAGCATTTGTTGTGGCCCGCAGGGCCGTACCCAGAAAACAATTTCGGGGGGGGGGGGGGGGGGGGGCGGGTTTCGGGGACAACGGCGGCCATTTTGAAAGTTTCTATTGTCTTATTTTCGCCTATGAATCATGTGCATCGGTGGCATATAATGGAGAGTTACAGCAAACCGGAGAACCGGTCCCGGTTTGGTACCCGGTAGCCGACCGGCGCCACTGCGCGTGCGCAGAGGTGGAGATTAAAATCGGCTGGCTGCAAGTGCACCGACCAGGGCCGTACCCAGAAAAAAATATCCGGGGGGGGTCAGAACCCCCCAACCCCCCCCCCCCCCTGGTTACGGCCCTGGTTGTGGGTGGCATTTGGGCCGTTGCGTTTTTAGAGCGCAGCTCTTAGGGGCCTGTTTCCGGCTTGAGCGGCGTCGGCGTAACCGCGAGGTCAC